GCTGCCCTCAGGAGCTGCCATGAATAGGACTCCCAACCTTTGGCTCCAACACATACCAGCCTTGTCCTGCCAGCCACTACACGGAAAGGTACAGAGAATAAGAAGGCACAGCTCCTTCCCAGGAGGAGGGGAAGAAGCAGATGGTGCCCGGGAGAGTCAAGTAAGGCAGACAGAACGAGGCAGGCAGAGGAATAAAACTGCAGGCAGATCAAGGCAGTGCCCTTGTCTTGATATTTGGCCAATAGCATAAGATGCAGTGTTTCAAGCAAGAAAGGAAACCTTTAAAATAGCTCAGGATAGGTGAGAAAGAGGCTTAGCTTGCCACTGCAGGAAATGAGACTAAGCATCATCTTTTTCCCCCAGGGAGACGCTTCGAAAAAAATCTCTGAGAAGGCAGGATGGCCTTTTCACAGGCTTTGCAACCGGGACAGGGAAACACTGATTTAAGATCCTCTGGGACAGTCCTCTTACTAGCTTACGGTTTTGCAGCCTGCGATAGGCTGACCACTGCAATTTCCATGTCCAGGAGGTCAAGCTGTGGATGAGAACGGAGTGTGGCTTATCTGGATGGAATGTTTGTTTCTGTGCCGTGTGTGTGACTGTAATGTTTGTACAACAGTGGCCAGTGTTGGATGACGGGATTTCACGCACGTCTGGGCTTTAATAAAAGGAGCTGATGTTGACTTAGATTCACTTCCTATAGGACACCTGTGTGTGCTTCACGAGGAAGGCTGCCAGACAGAATCTGGTACTCGATCAGCGTTTGAGAACGAAATGAGCGGAGCTGCTACGTCTAAGGCAGATGCAGGCCCTGGGGATGAGTCTGCCCTGTGCGTCCTCCCCTTTCCCCTCAGGCAGAAGCTCTTCCCGGTCTCCCCTGAGCTCTTCGAGATTTCCCTGGCCATTTTCTGGTCTATACTGGGAATATCACTGGAGTCAGGGGAAACCCATTGCAATAAGCCATCTTCCCTTCCCACTCTCCGGATACAGACCCCCTTCCCCATGCCAAATCTGGTAGGGTTATTTTAATATTTTTCAGTTTGGTGAAGAAATAACAGATTTTAGTTTTTTGATGAGAAAATCAAATGAACGTGCACAAGGAGTGTGCCTTTCACGAACACCAGCTGCTGTCATCATAAATCAGAGGCCTCAAAAGGGCTCACTTTGAGTAAGAAGCCACTTTCCTTGGCAAAGACAATGCCATCATGTGGGCCAAGCGAATGCTAGGGAACCGACCCGCCCCTCCCCATCTGAGAGGCAGCAGCAGGAGGGTGTGGAAGCTGTGTGTTGAAGACGCCCCAGCCCCCTTCAATTTAGGGCCTGACACCCTTTCCTCCAGCCCAAAGGCTCTGAGCGGGCGCACTGCTGTTCTCTTCTCCCCTCTGTCCCTAGGTAACGGAGAAACAAAAGTTTGCTACGGTCCGGTCTGGGGCCATCGGGGCCTGGGGCTCCTTAGAGCTCTCCCAACCCCCAGGAGCAAGGAGCAGAACAGAAGGGGAAAGAGGGAGTATGCCTCCCACAGAGGGCCTGTCAACACCGTGAGGGGAGTCTCGGTGCAGACAGTGAGGCCATGCCTGTTCAGAGGGCCTGTGGACAAGATCAGAACCGGAAACCTCTTCTTCTGCCCCTGTGACCGTATGGGAGGGGATAAAAGTAGAGGGAGAATGGGGGAAATGATGTCATTCGATGCTTCTTAAGAACCTATAGATTTTTCTTCCTGAGAATAAGGCTCCTGTTGGGACAGGGTCTGATGTCTGTGGTCCACCCTCAGGACCACGGTCCCGACAGGTGTTTGTACCCTTTTAAACCACCCTGGGACTCAAAGGGGTTTTGGCTGTTGAGGGGATGGGTTAGGCCTCTGGGTGTCTGGGGTGACTTTGTGCCTGGGGAGGTGGGGTTTGGGGGATCTGGGAGGGATGAGGGGCCCCCCGGGCCGTAAGAAAGTATTGTCTTTCTTGACTGAAGAGGGCCATGGCGGCAGCATGTGCCACCAAGAGAGATGGAGCCTGCCCTCCACAGCACTCCCGGCCCCCGGCCTGTTGGGACAAGTCTGACCCCACATAACAAGGGGAAACTTCTGGAGACAGAGTGGAGGAATGTGTTGGAGAAATGAGAAAGGTCATTGGGGCTCATCTGATGAATTTAAATCCTCTGAGCTCTAGTTTGGGATGTCACAGGCCTGTGACAGTGAGCTCAGGGGACCCTGCCTTGATGCTATCCGAGGGGACTGAGGCTTCACGCAGGCGCCCAGAGAAGAGGCAGACCTACTGAGCAAGGGAGAAAAAGAGCTTACAGAAATGATGCTAACAAAATCAGCCTGATTTTAGAGATGCCACCATCTTTATTCTTCATTCTTTTCTGAGAATGAAAAGAAGGGCCAGATTTTCTGTGGGGGATTGTGGGCATATCTGATGGGGATGCAACAAGGAAGGACAGTTTCCTATTTTATTCTCTAGCTCCGGGTACAGTATGCTTATCTCCTACCAGAACTAAATATTGGAGCTTGTTAATTAGTTTTCACCAGGAATTTCTGGGCAAGAAGTGGGCCCAGAGATTTTTTTTTTCTAAACATCTTAAGCGTTCCCTTGGGGAGCAGCTGGGGCAGCATGAGCTGGTGCCTCAACGCCCTTAAGGGCTTGTCAGGGGTCAGGCAAATGCTGATTAACATGGGATTCCTGGGGTGGGCTGAGGCCACCACCTCTCATGGGGTAAGAGGACAGATGAAAACTTTCTTTATGTTTCCCTCCTCCCTCCCACCCTCCCATGTTCTTTACTTCTTTCTTGACTTTTGTTCCTTTTCCTGGCTCTTTGCAGAACTGGACTTCCCTGCTGCTGCTCATAGATGCATATTTTCATCCTTAGGAAAGGCTGTGGCACGATGAAGGGAGTGGGGAATAGCATGTCAGGGGAGCAGGGCACCCTCCTGCCTGAGTCCTGTGGAGCCCAGTCCAACGCAGGTGGCAAGAAAGGCTTCCTGAAACATCCTGTGGTCTTCAACTCTGTTCCCAGTGGCTAAGGCTCCAGAGAGCCCTCCCTGAGTCACCCCGACTTTTGGCGCTCCAGGTCAACGGACGTCAGCAGTTTTCTCGGTTGCGTGTAAACACACGCGCGCGCGCGCGTGCACACTGAATGTGTATTAGTAAAACAGAGGTGGCAAATTAAAGTCCGTGACTGCGTCGAAATGAAAAAGAGAAAGGAACTAAATCTAAGAACAAACAAGTCCAAGTGGCCGAGGTCCCAGAGGGATGCACAGGATGGACAGCATCAAGACCCACTCAAATGGCCTCACCTTCTCCAGCCTCTGCAGAGTAAGCCATGAGCTAATAAGCCCTTGGTAGGGAAGCAGAATAGAAAGGAAAAGCACCTCTGACCAGATTGGAACTCCCAATTAATCACCGAGGGGCCCCAGCCCGCAGAGGGGTGGGCACAGGCCAGCAGGGCTGGCCCTCAGCAGGCCTGGGTGTGCTCTGTGTGGAGTGCTTCCTGGACGTGCCCTCCTGCCCTCTGCCCTCCGTCCCGCTGCCAGGGAGAACCCGAGGGGACAGTCACGTCGGGGAGGGAGGGGGCAGGACGGCACTGCAAATTTAGTAATAATCAAGGAAATCAAAGGGCTCTGAACAGAGAAAGGAGAGTCCAGTTTTACAACCCAACTGAAATTTAAAATTTGTGGGGTTTTCTATTTTGCTTTGTTTGTTTTTTACAGGTTTAGATAAACAGTGAAGGGAGGAAAGGAGAAACCTCTCTGAATAATATATATTTTTAAAAGAACCCCACAAACGGAAAAAAAAAAATTCCTCAGTTTTTGAACTTCTCTTAAGAGTAGCTCAATGTGAGGTCTTGCACCCTAAACAGTTACATCTGGAATTAAGAAAAAAAAATCGCCGCTACACACAACAAAGACTAACAGTATTTTTACTTAAAAATATTGTGTGTATATAGAGAGAGACTTATATATATATACCTTTTTTGTGGAGATTTTTTTTCTTTTCCTTTTTTTTTTTTTTTTTTTTTTTTTT